AAATATTTTATTGTTTTCTTAATTTAAAAGAAAAAATAGAAGAAAATAGAAAGCATCAACATAGTACTCGTATTCAGTCAATTTTGTTTTGTTCATTTTTTGTTTGTTTGAAATATGAATATTTTTCTACTTAAATGTGTAACAAAAATAGTGTTATTTTCTTTAAATATTTTATTCCATATACATATAAGTTATGTCTTGGCTGTGGATATGTTTCACAATACAAGCAAGTAAATTAAACATATTTGATTTACTTAATTGTTTTAATAAATATTTTGTGAAATGATGCAAGATCTTCTTATTTTCTTTGTATCATCAGACCTGAAAGATAGCTTAGATAATCTAATACAACGACGGTGTTTGCCAGGAACACTTTCCTTAATGACATTTCATCAAAGAGTGATTAACGGCTAGACATCAAGATTGTCGCGCACGTGTTCCTGGTGATAGTAATTAACAATGAAAAATAACACAAGGCGTCGTTAGTACCGCGTACAAGATACAAATTGAGATCAAGAAAGTAGCAATAGTGCCCTCTAATTAACACAAGACGTAGAAAACAGTGAGGACATATGCGCCTAGTTTTCTTTATCTTTCATGTGAATGAGTCATTAATCTTAAATTAAGAACAATTTTAAAATACATCATCATCATCGATTTTCAGATATTTCTTTGTAAAAAGGAAATAAAGATTAAACAAAATTCATTGATTACTTCAATGTTTTATTTAATCAACTTTCAATTTTGCCACACATTGACCAAGTAATTAATGAAATAACGTGTTTTCAATTTAATTGAGATATGTCCTTCCTAGTCTAGGTTAATGTCAAGCAAATAGGTGATGATGCGTCAATTTAAAATACTATTTTTGTTGCTGTATAATTTATCAGTTCTTGTTCATGAACTATTATTTATGTGTATGATTAGACAAAAGGAATATAGATAACAATCAAAGACACTTTTAAAAGTTGTTTGAAAGAACAGGCCAACAGGAACACAACGAAAAAGTATAATTATAGTAATTTAGAAGAGATGAAATGTTTTGATATAAAAATGTACTTTTCCTACCCGCTAATTAATGAAAACAATATACTTAGTTAGTCTACAATTCAATGAAGCAACATTATGCTATACACAAGAGGTACAAGCTTTTGTTGAGATAGCTTTTCTATCACAACAAGAACTAGGGATATGTTTCATTGATAAGCAAAATTCATTTGAGTTTAAAGTGTTAAATTCATTATGTGGTTTGAATGTTAGAATGCTGTTTGTTTAAGCGTAATATTATTACTATCATGACATGACTTTGGAACATCAAAATGCTCTAAAGAGTTAAATTTCTTTTGCATCATATAATTATGAATATTGAAACAGTTTAATGAGATTTAATCATTTAGTTACATGGACAGCTCAAATGCAATTCCAATAAAATGAAATTGCATGGCATTTGTAACATGCAGAACTACTTATCGCACTTTTCTACAATCATGTTTGTTGGTATTAAAATCACCACCATGGGAAACTGTAAAACTTTAAAACATGTTTAAAGATTACGCACTAGCATTTTGATTAATTTTGCTTCCACAATACTGTTTCTGATCACGCAATCGGTTCGCAGTTATGCTTGCTATATTATCTAAATGACATTGTTATTTTATTAAAGTTAATCATTAACGACACAGCACATTACAACTTTGGGGAAATGAAACAAATGTAAAAACGCCCAGAAAGAGCTTTGTGGCGTGATACGTTAGACACCTTGAAAATAATTCAAATTAAAACGTTTGTGTTTGCACACGATTTTTATACATTTTTAAATATGATTATATTTTTTTAGTTTTAAGCAAATTGTATTTTACATCACATTGTTATAATGTATTATATTGATAAGGTAGTGTATATTTAAGTATATTTTGAAATCATAGTACATGATCTTAAGTTTTTTCTCAAAGTATTTTCAAGTTAACCCAACGGAAATGTGAACATTTAACTGACAAAGGTTGTAAGTTTTGAAGGCCGAGAACATCATACACCACTATAATTTGTATATGCGACTTGACATTTCCTTTAATTTGTCCCCAGGCAGAAATTCTTGATTTTATCAATATAATCATGATTACATCTTCTCTTCTCGAAATTAAATTTTTTAAGAAATACAGGTGTAATAATAACTTCCAAACTGTCTCGATTCATCAGATTGTATAACGCCTGAGTTTCTCGCTAGATGTGTTTAATCATCTTAAACATTTGATTCGACTAGCAGTGAGACAAGATGGCAATAAGGTTCCATGTGGACAGTTCAGTTAACGCTTTCAGAAAATATGATTTAGTATCGAATGTGTTCACCACCTGCACCTGATTGTTTAAACATAGTTTTCATAGAAGTGTTGAAGTGTTGTTTAGCAAGGCAGTATTGTTATGTGTGCGTGCTTGTAGTATTAAAGGTATTTGATCTTTTTTGTAGTTAGGTTATTCAAATATTCATACTTGAATACTGTATAATCACCTTAAAATATGTCGCCTGCTTTTAAAAAAAAAAGTCTGTTTACATCTTTTCTGTGATATGCAGGCATCATAACTTCTGATCCCCTTTAAAATGTCCAGGTGATTTATTTCCGCAAATGTGTTTAAATTAAGTGCACACTCATTATACACAATACCGCTTTTCTAAAATGACATGTTCGTGTCATATTGAAGGTTAACTGATGACTGCCGTTTGAACATATATGTTTCTAAATTTAAATTTTCATCTATTTCATGTTTGAATGTGAATCTGCTCAGACCGCTGCAAGGGCCATACAACGTATCTTGCAATACTTACCACTATCGTCATTGAAGAAGCTCAATCAAACCAAGTCTGCAATTTTCAAGTTGGCCTTTTTTTTCGTTTATTTTATTTTGTTTCATTATTATTTTCTAATTTTTTTTATTTCTTTTTGCCGTTTTGTACGATTCCGTTTTTTTTGAAAAATATTATTCCATTTCTACTCGATTTTAGCTCTTAAGGCATGCATGCTTTAATGAATTTTTCATTATTTAAAGCAATTCGTTGCAGCTCCGCCGAAACATTCAAAATTATGTCGAGATTTATGTGCCAGATTCTTTAGAAAATGTTTATTTCTTGAGTATATGTCAACAGCAAACCTGGCTATCTTAGTGAAAAAAATATCAATCTATTATCGATTAAGTTGAGAATACTCTTACACTCCGTGTATACTGTTATAAGTGATATGGACGACTACTTATGTAAGGAATAAGAAAGTTCGACTTTGAACAAAATTTAATTTGTTTTAAAATGTTTGGGCAAGTAATTCTATTTTAAAATTAATGTTTTCATACACGCATTAGAAGAATGTTAGAATATGGTAGGGTAGATATGCGTACTTTGAAATAAGAATTCTCCAGATTAAAACTTTTGGAAAGTATTTGATAATTATTTCGTTTTAACAACTTGAAAGTACCAAAAAAGTACAATTACCTTTCAACCGGACACTTCCGCTTGAAAAAGCCCGACGACAATACATCCAAGTTCCTCCAAGTGTAAATTAAAAAAATCATTGACACATTTGTCGTAAATTCAATTGTAAATAGAAAGTGGATTTATTATAAAACGCAATTATATGTATTAATTAGAAGTTACGAACAAATAAAATGGCTCAATGAAACCCAATAAAGAACTAAACAACTACCAGACATTTTACTAATTTGCTCATGGCATATTTTGTTTCTTTCGGAAGTATTAATTGAGTGGAGGGTGGATTTAGTATGTTTAAACGAACTTTAATAACGCCCACGGAAAACTGCTTTATCATCAGTTTTAGAAAGAAAAGAAAGAAGATGTCAATTTAGGCATTAATTTGGAAAAAAAGAAAGAATCTCTGCACTTAATTACATACAGCAATGTTAAATTCAATAAAGAGTAATTGCAGTGGAGCCGAGATTAATCTAGAAGAAGTATTACGGGCATACTTTAAACAAAAATCACTGTTTCAATAGAACTTCCATTAAAGATTAAAAATCATGTAGGTTTGCTGTGATAATGAAACAGTACATCAGAATTTAATCGCTAATACACTTTGAACTTTTTTGATCACAAATTTATTAAAAGTCCTTGTATTTACATGTACTGGATGTCAGAAATTTAAGTCAACGTGCATTTAATTAAGTAAGTTTTTTTTTTTAAATAAGCTGTGCTTCGAGCAATGCATACATCCAAAAAGCATATGACTCTACCTTACTATGTGTTATTTCTGCAACTTTGTCATGTCTTTTTAAAAAGTTTTATTGCCCAGTTGTAACGCATTAAATTTTCATCTGGTTAGTAATAGTAGTTGAGGCTTGCTTAAAGGCTCTGTCACGTTAGGTGTAAATCCTATCATTTTAATTAAACTTACGGCCTCATTTACCTTACTGGCTCTAACCACGCAATTCACTGTGATTAACAATTACTTCATCCGTTTTGTTTCTCTTAATGATTTTTTTTTCTTTTTCAGTTTTTATTGTCATAACGTATATCAATTGTTGGGAAATAAAATAGTAGTAGATGTTTAAATGTTTCTTGGTGAAGCTGTTTTGTGATGAGTTAAGTTTTAGTATAATATTTTCAAAGTAAAGCAAGTTACACTTAATCAGAATAATTGTTTGATTTTAACTTCTGAAATATAAAACTATTACACGTACTTAAATACACGACGCTTGTTCTAAGTTAAGTTGCAATCTACTACAGTAAAGTTCCGCTTAGCGACCGGTCCGAAAATACGACCAATCCGATAATACGGGCAGTTTTTGAAAGAACCAAATTTTTCTCTACATATTTCAATGGTCGGAAGGTCCGATTCTACGACCGGTCCGCTATTCCGTATTACGACCACTTTCAAAAGAACCGACAGGCTAAATATTGTTGATTAATGTCCCGTAAATGCGACCACGTGTCGAGTGATAAACACCGACCGTTATATTTTACGGCATTAACTGTGAACGGTTTACGACACCCGGAAGAGAATGTGTGAATAACAATTTTGACAATTTGCACACTTACAATTTAATTGCTATCGATTATTCGTTTAATGTGGATTAAATTATTGGAAAATCAAAGGGAGCTGTTTGATGTATTGAATCGACACAGGTGCAAATTGATAGATAACTGGAGTAACAGCAATTTGTTATTGTTTACGTATTTCGGATTGGTATGTAATTAAACAAATTATGTTTTGAGTAAATTCTTTAGAGCTTATTTAATGAAAAGTTTAGCATGATATGTTACATTCATTGTTTCCTTTGCACATTTCATACATTTATTAGACAAAACACTTTACTGAAAATTATTTCTAAGTAACATAAACCATGGAAAAACGAAAAAGAAAATAATTGACTTTGCAAGAAAAAGTAAAATTAATAAGTGAAAGTAATGGCAAAAGTCAGCGTCAATTGGCTGAGCAGTTTGGAGTTGGGAAAACACAGGTATAAATTGTAGAATGTTCAGAGATGTTTTTAAAAAAGTAATAAAAATATTGTATAATTCTCATATACAGAGGGCAGAGAGTATGAACTTGTATTTACAAATATGAAAATTTTATAAAAGCTGATAATTTTTTACTCATTCTTGAATAATTCTTTGAATATATGTAAAATTATGTAAATGTAAGATACTTGCTGAAAAGAATTAGATAAATTACCAATATTGTTAAAATTATTTATATGGAGCACACGAATAGGAACATGTAAAGTTTTCTTAATGAAAAAATGAATTTAAAAGATATATTAAATTGTTTAAACGATTGCTTTACTTGTATTAAATGTCTCAGTAAATTATATTTTCAGGTTCAAACAATCTTGAAACGAAAGGCCGAGATAATGGAAGGCTTTGATAACAATGCTGGGAATGACAGAAAACGACTGTGTAAACGTTCACCTATAGAAGACATAAATAATCTAATGTGGGAGTGGTTCCAAAATGTTATGAAACAAGGTGTCCGTATAAGTGGTCCTATGCTACAAGAAAAAGCGCTTATGTACGCCAAGGAGCTTAGAATATCAGAAGCTGACTTCAAAGCCTCTAAGGGGTGGCTCAATCGGTTCCGTGAAAGACACAATATTTCATTTGAAACTGTTTGTGGTGAAAGTGGTAGTGTAAGTTCAGAAACTGTACAACAATGGAAAGATAAGGTGCCCAACATGATCAAAGGATACGATAAGTGCGACATCTACAACATGGATGAAACAGGACTCTATTTTAGGGCACTACCTGATAAAACCCTGTGTGTACGTGGTGAGGACATTAAGGGTGGTAAACGTTCAAAGGACAGGTTAACAGTCATGTTGTGCTCAAATATGAATGGTGATTTTGAGAAGCCACTAGTGATCGGCAAAGCTCGAGTGCCACGTTGCTTTAGAAATATTCAAGTGAGTGATTTACCAGTTACATGGAAATGGAATAGAAAAGCATGGATGACATTCGACATATTCACTGACTGGATTAAATCATTCAACAAACGGATGAGACATCAAGACAGGAACGTGATTCTATTCTTAGATAACGCTACCTCACATCCCTCAGACCTTCATCTCAGTAATGTGAAAATTCAGTTCCTTCCCAAGAACACAACATCCGTCCTCCAACCACTAGACCAAGGAATCTTACAGAATATGAAAGTTCACTATAGGAAACGGCTTCTAAGATCTGTGTTGTCTAAAATTGATGCTGACAGCTCTGTTAATGCTGAAGTGATTTCTATATTACCACATCTCTCCTCTAAAAGTACTCCTTATCCAGCTGGAGCCAAACGTGGCTATAGCCCCAGGCCAACTTGCATATGTGTGAAGTCTGGCTGTATTGTCGTTCTTACAATCAAATATATAATATTTGTTGCATGAAAAATCACTGCAGTTTAGATTGTCTGGGAAAGGTTGTGGGTTATAGAGGGGGTTGGGGGTAGTGACAAAACAATTTCGCGACCACCCGCGGATGATTTGTTACAGTTTATTATTTAATAAGTGTTAGAATATCATTCATGTTTCAATATTTGCAAGTCTAAAAGGACAGAAAATAAAAATAAATAATGATATATTAAATAAATAAGCATAACGTATTATGGCAATAATAATCAAACAAAAGGTTGAATAACAAAACACATTTGCCTACCGGTTCAATCATAAAATTGTATAATCAAAGCATTAGTTGCAGTTTCAAATTGAATTATTTGTTAATAAAAGATCACACGACAAAAATAAAACAGCAGGCGTGTTATATATCACGCATTTTATGGCAAACTCTGCACCTCTTTTTTATTTTTATTCGTCGGTTACGGTTATTTGAGATGACCTGGGTAGACAGTGTAATTATTACCAACTATAGGCCATGCTACGCCACCAGAATGATTTCATCATAAATCTCTATGTCTGGATTCACATACATAATGATTGTAATTTGTCCAGCTGCTTTTAACGTAAAATGTAAATTGCTCACTGCTCTGCCTGTCCAAGTAATAGACTTAAATTATTTGTTACAAGTACACTTGTTCTAGAGCTTACACTAAAATGTACCGAAGTATACTCAATACTTGTTTAATTCTTTATTACGGTGGCACAAAGATGGCATGTGTGTGTTTTTATTTATCTCGTATGTTATTAAATCGTGGCCACCCCTGTTGAACTACTGGCCTACTGTTTCTCCCAGAATGCATCAATATTTCAATGTCTTTAATATGTTCAGTTTTACACTTAATCTGTTACATTAGAATTAAAGTGTTACAAACAGTGTAATAAGTTAATGAATTTAAGATTAATTCGGTGTCTTTCAAAGTATTTAATTAAATGAAATTCTCATTTGTGCACTTAAATTTGTATAACTCTAATTTCAATATCGATATTTGAAGTTATAAAATACTTGGTCAAGTCGAAGTAAACTTTACCTTATTAGTACTATAATATCATATAATCAAATAAATCGTGTTCGGCTAACCTGTGAATTACAAAAACTAATAACATATTTTCATTGATGTACACAAAACATTGTTGATTATTAATATGTATTGCTTTAACCATGGACTTTAATGAAATTTTGGTCTATGATTAATAAAATACATGTACATAAGAAAAATAAAAGTTTTAAATAAAAAGAAAAACGCATTTAAAATAATAACTGCTTTCTGCAAAGACAAAACATAAATTTATAACACATGATGCTTTCTATTATTTGAAACCAATCTTGTAGATGCAGATTTCTTGCAATCAATCAGCATTTATAAGATGTCGTATATTGTGTGTTAATATCACCATTGAATGCGATTTAGTAATGGGTTTCAATCTTGAAGAGGTGTCTTCCAGTGTATTTGATGGCAGGAATTCCACTTAAGTGCAAATGCGTTTTCTACATTTCTTTTAGAAATTAATTGCTGGACACCATGTGGCCTCTTGAGTTATAATATAATATATTTAATGTATAAAAATTCGTAAATTTCGTGCGAAAACATTTCAGATGACTTTTCAATTTGCAAAAAAAATATATATATGTGTCACATATGCCTTAGTCAGTTTAATATGTAAAGTGCCATTTATGAGATGATCATGGCATTCATTACATGCAAAAGCACATATAGCAATTTGTTACAATTATTTATATTTGTTCATGGTAAAATCACAGTCATGGATATCGTAAAACTTTAAAGCAAGTTCAATTTATAAACCCATGCAGTTTGATTAACATCATTTCCATTTTAGTGACTCTGATCACGAAAGGCAATATGATTAGAAATGGTAAAGTCAGCTTTTTTCACTTATTGACATCGTAAAATTATCAGATGAAAGTGTCAGCCATGACCGACAAAGGACATGACAGCTTAAAGGAAATAAAACTGACGTTGGATTTACACAAAACACCTTTGCTGCGTGATCAGTTATGAATTAATTCAGAGTATTCAAATTAAATTATAGGGTTTTAACAATGAAACATAAGTGTTTATCAATTTAATAAAATCAAAATAAAGCGTCGTCTATGTGCGACACAATGCGTGACAAACTAACATAACATCAAATTCTTTGACACACGATGTCAGTACAATGTTAATATGCTCGCACACATAAAATGACTGCTTTGATTTATTGCAAACTTTGAAACTGTAAACAACGCATTATGAACCGCGAGAATACTTGTTATTATATATGTCACAAAACAACCATAAGTTATGCGAATTCAGGTGTCATGATGCACACAATTCGCAAGGTATTTTAATAACGTTTTATTGGCTGCTGTAGGAAAAGATTTTCTTTTGACAATACTTTTAACGATTCCATTTGCGGTAGATTGAAAGTCTCTAAGTAATATAACTATAGTCTTGATCTCATATACCGGTGTTGTCATTGTATTGTAATTGCATTGTAAGGCATCAGTGAAATCTTCATAACGACTATTTAATGCTACCATTAGTCGGCAATAAGTACTTTTTAATTCATCTACGAATAATATATGTAAAGAAAATGTATAGGCATTTTCCGGAAAATAGGGCTAAACTGTTTACTATCATAATGGCATTAAACGTTTGTTCAAGTAGAAAGGCGGCTTGTAGTGATATTGCATACTTTATATGATTATGTATAATTTTTAAGTTGTAAAATTAATTTATATGATTTAAAATATAAAAAGTTTAATGCGAAAAAACAAAATTTGACATTGAACAGAAAATAACTATAAAACCATTCATAAAGATACATATTTTATCGAAGACATTGTTAACAATTGTCAAATTACTATTTGTATTCATCTGGAACTGACCTTTAAAACTAAAAAAGCGCGTGATTTTTGTGCTTGTATATTATTATACAGATATTTGCATATTTTTGTATCAGAATGAACAACATTTGAAGAAAAAAAACAACAACAACATGATTTGCATTGAAACGATACTTCATAAGGTCAACGTGTGGGCGCCAACTTGATTAGCTAAATTAATATAAATAAGCTTTCTCTTTTTGTCTATACACTTGAGACACTATAGGATGCTGTTAATATTTTCTGACATTTCCAGATCATTTCATTATCTTGCAGAAAAAAATGATATGGCAGAAACAATACAAAGTGTAACGGTAACCAGTTGAAATTTTATACACATTGTTATTCACCCAATATATTGTTGAACCGGTCAAAAACATGCATTCTTGATTGCTGTAAAAACATGAACTTTTTTACAATGTCAATAACGTCATGGCAGTTGTTTTATGCATAGACGGTACTTCTTTAACACTTACTAACGTAAGTTAAAAGTTGTGAAACTTACTTTGTTCCTTCATTTGTTTTTTATCATATCAAAACAATTTAAAGCTAAAACAGACTTTGAAATGATTTCAAGTTATATAACGCACCATTATAGCTAATACAACTTCAAAAGCTAGGTTCTTTTTTTCTAAATAGCTTGATTTGTTTCGATAAGAAGCATCCTTGGAGCTGACATGTTGTAATAGAATTTTGATCAAGGATTGCTACTAAAAATGATTGGTCTAAAGATTTTTAAACGAGATGTCTTTTTGAACATTAATAAGGAAATAAAGATGAAAGAATCCCTACACCTAATTACATCCAGTAATGTAGTATAAAGTAATGGAATTCGAACCGAAATTGAATTGATCTTCTGGAAAAACAACTTTTAATGTTATTTCTTCTTTTACAGATATCGCTGTTTCAACAAAACTAAGATTTAGTTATTTGCATTTGAGTCTACAGTATCATAAATTTAAAGCGTCGTGCATAGGCTATGAATAGGCACGAACGTGCCAAAATAAAGATTCCATGTTGCCCGCCGTATGGACACATTTGCGTATGCTTTAAAATTCAAATCTTCACCATGTTGCATTCTGCTTAGGTCGGTGTTAGGGGCGTGGGCAGTAACATGCACTTTCCATAAACAACGTTCATGAACAGGCAAGCTCAAAAAGAGCCTGCAACTTTTTCAATTTTGCCGTTTTTAGCCGTTCTTTAGGGAATTCGTTTTTTTCTATTTTTTTGCTTTTTTCCGAATGATTATTTCGATTGTGAAAAAAATGACACGCACACACACCAACACACGCACATACCAACACACAAACACACACATATACACACGCACAACATAATAATAACAAAAAAAAACACATTGATAGGAAAATTTGCAAATCAAAAATAAAAGTTATTTTTAATAATATGTCACCTTTAAAATTCATTACCTATTGTATGCTATAAAAGAGCGTCTTTCTTAGGAGAATTGTGAATAATAAAATAAGAAAGAAGAAACGAATGGCGGAATCAGCTAACGATAAGAAAAGATGCTAGGAAAGAGGATTCACAAAATAAAACAACCGAAAAATAAAAACATTTAATTTTGTTCCTACAAATTGAATAATGACAGTGATAAATCATAAACATCAAGGCATTAGTAGTCGGTGTCTAATAAATGTCCACAGACATTTCAGTGTAACTGTTAGACAACGTTGTGGCCTCATGAGAATTGTACGAATATTTAAATGCCGACTTCTAAAATGTTTTCAAAATGTGCACTTTCATACATTTTCTAACATATTTGCATTCTCAATATTTTAAATAAGGAATATTTGTCTTCCTATCCATTAAAACATACATGTATCTTCATATCTAAAACATGCACGCAGATTTAAATGATAAGTCTTTGAGATCGTCTCTCTAAACCACTTGCACATTACTGTTGTGATTTAAATCCCAACGGGTACTTCTTCATGCGAGGACGCTATCCAGCTAGCATACGGAATGTCGGTGGTCCTACTCAGATGCCAACTCATATCTGAAATAATACACGGTGGGTAATTTGTGGTCTTTCTCCACAAGCAGAGATGGAAAGTCGCCAGCTTACCATTACAATGTTGGTGTGACA